GCAAAACGAGTTTATTCACCGTTGATTCACCACAACCAATTAACAGCGAATAAGATCGATCAAAGAGAAACAACGTAAGAAATTAGAACGCAGCAACACCAACCTTGAAATCAAACTTCCAAACTTCCACAACAGTCAACGAAACCCGCACGTCAAAAAGAACTACCAAAATATCAAATTTCACAAAATCAATAATGATCATCACACGAACCATTTAAACTACTCAGCACACTTAAAAACTCAAGAATTCACACGCACAAGTGTCAACAATATTCACACTCATCGCCGACAAACATTACTCCCAACTTGACATCAAGACACCAAGCAAAATTTTTTGGGCTAAAAATAGCTTATTTTTAGCATAAGCCCATTTGGAAAATGATGGCCTATTTGGGAGGGTTGTTAGGACATCTGACTTTGAGACCAAAAGGAAGATCAAAACGTACATTTTTATAAATTAATCTGAGAGAGCTTATTCAAATAGAAACCATGCTTAAATGAATTTAACTTTATATCTGATGGGCGGCTTTGGCCATCTAACTTTGTACGTTTTCATATAGAAATCTGAGGGTCATCTGACTTTGGGACCAAAATGAATTTTAATTTTAATTTATTTTATTTATTTAAATTATGTTCCACTTTATATTTGTAATAATTTTTAATGATATCTCTAATATTTTAAAATATATTTGAGTTATAAATTTTTACTTCTTCATATTAAAATAATTTAAAGTTATTGTGTTATGTAAATTTGTTTTTTAATTATTTATCATTATTTTATAACACTTGTACTGATTTAGGTAATTGTACAAATTAAACTTATTAATTTAAACTTACTGTATGATGCAAAATTCGTTTTTCTAATTATTTTTCATTATCTAATAAAACTCATACCCATTGTGGTATTTATAAAAATTAAACTTACTTTTATTCAATCATAATTTAAATAATTTTTTACCCCATCTAACTTTTAGATACTAATTTTTATTAAATTCAATTCAAACACAGTTCACATTACTTAATTTAACTTTTACACAACTTTATTTTTTTAAAAATTAAATTGATAGTAAGCTACTTTTCCAATCACTAATTCAAACAGATCTATTATCACTTGAAGTAACCCAAAGCAAGTCAATTAACCCAGAAATTCTTCACCAAACATCTTGCAGCAGCAAAAATGATAGCAAAACTGTTCAAGGTTTGGAGAAGAGAGAATAACGGCTTGATACAAACGCTTAACACTGCTCAGATGCGGAGGTGACACATGCTGACTCTTAACTAATACTCTTCCCGTTTTTAATATAAAATCTATTTAATTAATTTGATTATATTAAGAAAGTTAAATAAGTTAATTAATTATAAGAAATATGATACTTTTTCCTAAAACACTATAATTATTTTTCTTAATATCCTCGCTCCTTTTTTTACTTGATTATTTTTGAGGAAATATTCATAGGGATAATTTAGAAAAAAATGATAAATAAAAAAAATATATCTTATATTTAGGTCTAAAATCAACTCAATAATTAGGTCATATATTAAGAACTGGAGAAGTAGTGTGATTTACTATTAATTAATTGGCCTTATGTTTTATATGATGTTTATGCATACACATATTTACCAATATGTTGTGTGCCTCCACTTAATGTAAGATCTAAATAATTAATTTGAGTAAATTAAGGATGTCAATTAAATTAGTTAATATAATATGTTTTTCCTGAAGCACTCAAATCATCTTTCTTAATGTCTTCGCCCAATTCCTACTTATTATTGTTAAGAAAATATCAACAGGATTAATTTAAAAAAATGATAAGAGTATGAAATATGTCTTACATATAAAAATAATATCAACTTTCAAATTAAGCTATATATCAAGGACTGGAGGAATATTTTACAATTCATCAATGATGAATTTGAAAAGTTTTCTAATAGTCATTTCAATAAGCAAAATTTTAGTTTGGGTATAGCTAACCAAATTGGGATTTTCAAATTTATTAAAATTACTATATTGTCTTTTATTTTTCAAGTTTTGTAACGCGATTAACAAGTTCTTTAACTCTATTAACCAATTTGCTATCACTGTTAATGATAGATTTTTCAAGAAATTTAAAAAATGACATTTTTATATTTTTAGTAATGCAATCAACAATTCATATAATGATATTAACAACTCTCATAATGCAATGAAAACAAATTTCCTTATGAAGATTAATGTTTTTAATATAGGCCCTCTATGAAGGTTGTGCAACAAAATTTTTCTATTTATTAGGCAATTACTATAGTTATGAGAGTTATTAATATCAATATCATTATGCGAGTTATTAACCACATTACTGAAATTATAAATATGCTGCTTTTTTAATTTCTTGAAAAATTTATTGTCATTTGTCAACGATGATATAAAACTTATTAATTGTGTTAAAAAAACTTGTTAACTACATTACAGGACTTGAAAAATTCCCTACTTATATGACTAATTTATCTCAACTATAAAAAGTTCTTAGATCATGTGGCTAATGACATTACAAAAGTTGTTAATATCGTTATATGACTTGTTAATCATATTATTTAAGTTGTAAAAATACCATTTTTTGAAATGCTAATTTTTAAATTTTCTAAGAAACTTGTTATTAACAGTGATATTAAACTTACTGATAGCGTTAACGAATTTGTTTATCATGTTACTAGACTTAAAAAAAGAATCCCTAAACACAATTGCCGCCTGTGACTTGTCATTGGCTGTTCATCGAAGCTCTAGCATTGGCATCTACCTCAAGTTTTGTGCCAGCTTCAGTGGCCACCAGCTGGGCGGTGAGGATGCTTAATGGTTTTTTTAAAAAATATTGAAGAACAATATTATAAATTGACTAACATTTCAAAATTTCAATTTAGTCATTATAGCTAATTTAGAATTTTATAAATTTAGGTGATCATTTAGAGTTTTACAAATTAAAGTGTCATCTTATTGGAATTTTCCCTATACCTCTCTAGTTCGGTAAGAATAAGCCTTGAGCGCAATTTATTTAATAAATATGGCAGTGACATGGTGTTCTTTAGCAAAATATTAGTAATTCTGACTTGATCCGCTTGAAATAATAAGTTAAAGTGCAAATTTACCTTGATAATTCTCACTAATAAATGTTGAGCACCTAGAAGTCCTTTTGGGCATAAATTTTTCCTAAAAACTTAAAATCGTAACTATATTTTTTTCTATCTTTAAAAAATTAACATTAGATCATAAAAATTGCACCAAAATAAAAGGATTATAGAAATTGCACAAAAACTCATGGGTCAAATTGCACCATTAAAGAAATCGGAATGCCAAGGGCACTTAAGAAATAAAATCAGGGGTAAAATGACACATTTTTTCATTTATTTATAAATAGGATATAAGGTTTTATTTTTAAAAATTCGGAATATATAATTTTGTTAATTCATTTATTACTGTGTAGAAGAATAAAGTTAAAAGTTATTAAACTTTAGGGTCGAGTTAATTATATTTAAGATATTTCTTGATATGAGTAAAATGTGCTAAAAATCACTGGTTAATAAGATCAAAGGTAATACAGCATGAACTAGCAGACACCGAATATTGATTAACAACACACCTTGAATAAAGAAAATTACCCTGCCATTTTAAATTGGAAAACATTAATTGATCATTCCTTATAGTTACTTATTTTTTAATTAGGTCACGTTTTTTTTTTTAATTGCGTCTCTATATACTACCTCCAGTCTTTAATATAAGACTTTGTTTGACTTTTATTTTGGTCCTAAATATAATACCCCAATCTATTTTGTTTCTCATATTTATGCATTTTTTTTCTAAGATAGTCCTTCTAATAATGGTAGCTCTAACCAATACACTTGATTAGCAAGTACATTTTAAGAAAGACAACACATATTTATTACAAATAACTAATTTCACTTCTTTCCTTAATCTCTTTAAATTAGTTAACTAGCTCTTATAATTAAGATCGGAGGTAATAGTTTCTTTTATTATCAGCATTACTCTCATCATGTGTTAATTCCAATTCATATGGATGTTAAGCAACACGTAAGTAGTAACAAAATACAAAGTAAAAGAAGATTTTAAAAACAAAATGATAAAATAAAATTTATTTATTATCAGCATAAAAATAAAAAATTATTGATTTTGGTTTTATTTAAATTCATGTGACAACATGAATTCAATGCATGCTAAATGAAAGTCGTATAATTAGTTACTAACGTTGTTTTTCTTATAAATTACTATCTCCCGTCTTTAATATAAGACCATGTTTGACTTTTATTTTGGTTCTAAATATAAGATCTCAATCTACTTTGTGTCTCATATTTATATACTTCTCCAGTCCTTAATATAAGACCCATTTAACTAATTTGATTAGATTAAGAAAGTTAGGTAATTATAAGAAATGTGACACGTTTTCCCTAAAATACCATAATCATATTTCTTAATACCATCTCTCTCTCTTCTGCTTGATTATTGTTGATGGAGTATTCATAGGGGTAATTTAGAGAAATTGATAAATATGAGGAATGGGTCTTATATTTAGGACCAAAACTAACTTGGGTCATCCTATATTAAGGACCAGGGAGTATTTTTTTTCCAAAGTAGCTCTTCTAATAATGATAGTTCTAGTCAATATACTTGATTAGTAAGGATATTTTAGGAAAGACAACACTTATTTAGGACAAATAACTAACTCAACTTACTTTTTTAATCTCCTCAAATTAGTCAACTGACTCTTATAATTAGGATCGGAGATAATATTAAATTATGAGTATAAAATCAATACCTATAATTGAGAAAATTATAATAATTCTATAAAAAGGGAAAAGAAACTATAAGAACTTACTTAAAATCATATTAATTTTTCTTTTTAAATTTACAAAGTGATGGTTTCCAGTTCCAAATAGAAACTACAAGATACCATTATTTAAGTACCCAAAACATCAGCTGACAGATCTTTCAATAATAGGCAGTTGGCTAATTAGCTTCATGCAAAGGTACAAAGACAATATATTAACCAGAGGATTGTGCATGAGAACAAGCTAATGATGATGAGCACGATCCACCATTTGGGCGATGCTTCGCATGGTTGGTCGACATGAAGGGTTGGCTCGTAAACATGAAATAGCTTGATTTCAATCAAAATCACTTCCTTCATCAACTTTTGCTGCTCTTTAGGAGGTGACAAACGGGGGTCTAAAATCTTTTTGAAGTTGATGTTTGGATCATCATCAAAGGAGTGTACATGAGAAATTAGATCACCAGGATGCTTTCCCATGAGAATTTCAAAAGCCAATACACCAAAGCTAAACACATCACATTTCTCAGACACTGTTATCGTATATGCAAGCTCTGCAATAGCAATTAGAATGAAGTGATCACTTGAAACATTTGTAAGTAACGACAATTAGTTGTGAATTTGTATGACTAATAAGCAAAAAACTTCGAAAATAGAAGGTTTAAGTTCATACTCATGAATATTAACACAGGTTTCTATAACGTTTTAAATAGAGTTAGACATGGCATTAAAGTTACCTGGAGCAGCATAGCCAACGTGTGCCAGCAAATGCTGTCAAAATTGATGAGTTAGACTTCAAGAACATTGCTGTGCCAAAATCTGACACATGGGCTTCTTCAAGATTTCCAGACAATAATATATTTTTGCTTGATATGTCTCTATGAATAATTGGTGGATCACAATCATGATGCATATAAGATAAAGCTTCTGCTACGCATTTGACAATATCCACCCTCTTAAGCCAATCTAACTTTAATGCCTTAGAGTCACTTTTCAGAAAATCGGCTAAAGTCCCACCTTCCATGCACTCATAAACAGCAAAGTGTGATATCTTTGTGAGCAAAACCCGTAGAGCTTCACAATGTTTCGATAGCGGATTTCTGTCATGGCTTCAATCTCACTCTTGAAGGCTTTAAACTTTCAATGTCTAAATCATATTCTTCACGTCTAAACTTCTTTATGGCAACTGTTCACCTCCCTGCATGACCATTTTGTAAACTTTTCCAGAAGCTCCTTCCCCTATACAATACTTGTCATCAAAGTTCTCAGTTGCTTCAATTATGTCATCATAAAGATTTTTCCCATCAAAATGTAAGATTGAAAATGTACTTTCCTTCATGATTCCTGAATTCTGTTCTATAATTCTAGACTTTAGTTTTGAACACAACAAAAATCCCAGCTAACACCAATGAAACAAGTAGTAGACCTGCTAAAGAAGCAACAATAGATATCACAGCTTTCCCTTTGTTGCTTCTCCTCTGTGATATTGAAACATTGCAAGGTCTCAACCATTGATTCTCCCACATAAATCTTTGTTATTACTAGATCTAAATCTAATTGATAAGAAATATTAAATACGACACTGTTTGGTACAGGACCCTCCAAATTGTTGTAAGAAATGTTAATGCTTGACAAGTTCAACATTGTGCTAAGGGAATCAGGGATAGAACTTGATAAATTATTGTGAGACAGATTCAGATTTATCAAGTTGTTGAGCTTACTAAGATCAACAGGGATTTCTCCAGAAAGTGAGTTATAACTCAAGTCCAAAAAATCTTCCAAGGAGTAAATATTCCCAATTTGATATGGGATTTGGCCATTGAAGTCATTATGACTCAAATTTAAATTGAGCAGTTTGTAGCAATTCCCTAATTGATAAGGGATAGGTCCACTAAACCTATTCGTTGACAGGTCTAATGACTCCAAATTAGAAAGACTTCCAATGGTTGCAGGCATCATACCTGAAATATTATTTCTGTTTAAGTCCAGAAGGTATAACATGGAGGCATTTCTGATTTGTGTTGGTATCTCGCCGATAGATGGTTCCATGATAAGTCAAGCTTTTGTAGTTGTTTCAATTGAAACATCTCACCTGGAATATTTCCCTGATTGAATTGCCAGCCATGATAAGAGCTTCTAAGCTTTGGCAGGAACCCCAGTTTGCAGAGAGCTCACCCTGCACTCTGTTGAAGCTGATGTCAATGTAAGTGAGATCAGGATATACTCCAAAATCCTGATCTCCATGTCCTGTCAATTGTTTATGTTGAAGCTGAACTCTGTAGAGAGATGAACAGTTTTTCAAACTTAGTGGGATTGGACCAGAGAGACTATTATAAGCTGCAGTGAAATTCACAAGCTTACCACCTTTGCACACTTGGGGTGGTAGATGCCACTGAAGTTGTTATAAGATAGATGAACAACAATCAAAGATGAAACATTTCCTAACTCTTGGGGCAATTCACCATGTAAATGGTTGCGATGAAAGTGAACATCAGTTAGATTGGTCAGTCTACCAATAGTAGGTGGAATTATGCCTGAGAGATTGTTTAAAGCCATTGAGAGAGCTCTTAGATCTGTACAGTTACTAAGCGGTTGCGGTATAGACCCAGAAAAGTGGTTTTTCTCTACATATAGAAATTGGAGCTTCGAGAGCGCTCCAATGCTTTCTGGTATACTACCACTAAGTTTGTTACATTGAAGATTGAGATTAAGAAGATTTGGTAACGCTGAGAAGTTCAATTTTCAATGGTACCATGAAGATCAGTATTGCTCAAGTTGAGTTCAATCACGCTCCCTGTAGAATCACAACTAATTCCACGCCATGAACATGTTGGAGCTCCACTCGAGTTAGCTTGTGGTGGAGAGACCCATGAATCCAATATTGGCTGCTTTGGGAGACTCTGTTTCCACTTGAGAAGAGCTTCAGTTTCTGTAAGTCCTGAAGTGATGGGACATAGCGCAAAAAAGACAAAGCAAGTTAGAGGAAGTAGAAAGAATATGAAAATTTTATGTTGGGCCATGTTTCTGAATGTACCTGTATGCATGTACCGCTTTATACTACATTATTTCAAGAAAAGTTGAACTCCCTGTAATTAAATCAATAGTTTAAATCGCATGTGATCCTTTTTATAAATATATATATCATACATAATTTGTAGTTGTCTAAGTATGATTGGCCTTGTTTCTGAATGTTCTTGTTTGTTCAAAGCAGGGCTCCAATTTTATATTCTCTGCTTGATTCCCTTTGAATAATTGAACAATTTAAAAACATATACGGTTGTTATTTGGGTTAGAATGATTTTGACATAAAATATAAATAACTGTCTCTTTTAAATTTAGCAGATGAGGTTATTAATTTATTGTCAAACCAAAATATCTTACAGTATTATTTTATGGTTAGGGAGAGATTTTGACATGCTATAATAACTAGCCGAAAGATAAATGCTGATTTTAGAACAAATCTTATGACAGATGACATATATGTTGCTTTGGGAAAAGAAACTTCAATTAATAAATGAAAATTTCGACAACATGGCTTCTATTATTATATAGTAAGTTTATTAATTGAATTTCATCATACCTCAACTACTTTTAATCAAGATGCAAGTGGCGGCAACGAGGAGAAGAATTTTTTTTTTGTCAAGACTCCTAATCATGGTCAAAAAGTCAGGAAAGGTGGGCGATAAGCTTTGACCATCAAATCAACTATTACCAAAAAAAAAAGTTAATATAATTTTTTTCCTTGAATTTGTTCTTATTTTAATTTTAGTCTTTTAAGTTTTAAATGGTAACTTTTTTTATTCTTCAAATTTGTTTCGATTTCAAACATTAGTTACAATAATAATTTAATAAAACTTATACTATTTTGTTTTTTTAATAACAAAAACAATGATTTGAAATTTAAAAATAACCACAAATTTGTGTAACCTTAAGAGACCAAGGATTATACTAACTCCAAAATAACAAACTAACATCAATACCATGACCTGTTATTTAAAAAATCAGCTTTTATATTTAGGACCGAAGGCAATATCATTATCTTATTATCGTTAGACACTTCTATTCTCCCAGAAAAGAACTAGATAACAAATTTATGAAAATTAAAAAAACTAGTTGAATCAATTAATTATTTATCTTTAAAAAGTGTCGATTTTTTTTTTAAAAATATACTGTCACAACTAAAAATTAAGGTATGATTGGCCTAAATATGAGAAAACCTTCCTTAAACGGTGAATATATAAAAAATGCCTCATACATGTTTGCAGACATATTTAAATAGCAGAACAAAAATTTCTGATATATTTCGCGTAGAAAAAAAGTCAAATCTTATTGTAAAATTTTGGTAACAACATTAATTTAATGCGTGCTAAATGAAAGTCATACTATTAGCTACTAAATTGTTTCTCTTATAAATTATTAAATTATGAGCATCAAAATCAATACCTATAATTGAGAAAATTGTAAGAATTCTATAAAAAGGAAAAAAAAGCAAGAACTTAACTAAAATGAGATAAATTGCAGGGGCATGCATATTAACTTTTCTTTTTAAATTTACAAAGTGATGGTTTCCAGTTCCAAATAGAAACTACAAGATAACATTATTTAGTACCCAAAACATCGGCCGACAGATCTTTCAATAATAGGCAGCTGGCTATTTAGCTTCATGCAAAGTACAAAGACAATATATTAACCAGAGGATTGTACATAAGAACAAGCTAACAAAAACTTCAATGATGATGAGCACGATCCATCATTTGAGCGATGCTTCGCATGGTTGGTCGAGATGAGGGGTTAGTTTGTAAACATGAAATAGCTAGATTTGCAATCAAAATCACTTCCTTCATCAACTTTTGCTGCTCTTTAGGAGGTGACCAACGGGGGTCTAAAATCTCTTTGAAGTTGATGTTTGGATCATCATCAAAGGCGGTACATGAGAAATTAGATCACCAGGATGCTCTCCCATGAGAATTTCAAAAGCCAATACGCCAAAGCTAAACACATCACATTTCTCAGACACCGTAGCGTATACGCAAGCTCTGCAATAGCAATTAGAATGAAGTGATCATTTGAAACATTTGTAAGTAACGACAATTAGATATGAATTTTTATGACTGAGCAACAAAACTTCGAAAATAGAAAGTTTAAGTTCATACTCATGGATATTAACACAACTGAAGTTTCTATAACTTTAATGCTTTAAATAGAGTTAGACATGGCATTAAGTTACCTGGAGCAGCATAGCCAAGTGTGCCAGCAAATGCCGTCAAAACTGATGAGTTAGACTTCAAGAACATTGCTGTGCCAAAATCTGACACATGGGCTTCAAGATTTCCAGACAATAATATATTTTTGCTTGATATGTCTCTATGAATAATTGGTGGATCACAATCATGATGCATATAAGATAAAGCTTCTGCTACGCATTTGACAATATCCACCCTCTTAAGCCAATCTAACTTTAATGCCTTTGTGTCATTTTTCAGAAAATCAGCTAAAGTCCCACCTTCCATGTACTCATAAACAGCAAAAGTGTGTGATCTTTGTGAGCAAAACCCGTAGAGCTTCACAATGTTTCGATGGCGATTTCTGTGTCATTGCTTCAATCTCACTTTTGAAGGCTTTTAAAATTTGAAGATCTAAATCATATTCTTCACATCTAAACTTCTTTATCGCAAGTTTTTCACCTCCTTGCATGACCATTTTGTAAACTTTTCCAGAAGCTCCTTGCCCTATACAATACTTGTCATCAAAGTTCTCAGTGCTTCAATTATGTCATCATACAGATTTTTCCCATCAAAATGTAAGATTGAAAATGTACTTTCCTTCATGATTCCTGAATTCTGTTCTATAATTCTTGACTTTAGTTTTGAACAAACAACAAAAATCCCAACTAACACCAATGAAACAAGTAGTAGACCTGCTAAAGAAGCAACAATAGATATCACAGCTTTCCCTTTGTTGCTTCTCCAATGTGATATTGAAACATTGCAAGGTCTCAAACCATGGATTCTCCCACATAAATCTTTGTTATTACTCAGATCTGATTGATAAGATATATCAAATATGCCACTATTTGGTACAGGACCCTCCAAATTGTTGTAAGAGAGGTTGATGCTCGACAAGCTCAACATTGTACTAAGGGAATCGGGGATAGAACCTGATAATTGTTATGAGACAGATTCATATTTATCAAGTTGTTGAGCTTACTAAGATCAACAGGGATTTTTCCAGAAAGTGAATTATAACTCAAGTCCAAAAAAAATCTTCTAGGGAGTAAAGATTCCCAATTTGATAAGGGATTTGGCTATTGAAGTCATTATGACTCAAATTTAAGTTGAGCAGCTTGTAGCAATTCCCTAATTGATAAGGGATAGATCCACTGAGCCTATTCATTGACAGGTCTAATAACTCCAAATTAGAAAGACTTCCAATGCTTGCAGGCATCATACCTGAAATATTGTTTCTGTCTAACTTTAAAAGGTATAACATGGAGGCATTTCTGATTTGTGTTGGTATCTTCGCCAGATATATGGTTCCATGATAAGTCAAGCTTTTGTAGTTGTTTCAATTGAAACATCTCACCTGGAATATTTCCCCTGATTGAATTGCCAGCCATGATAAGAGCTTCTAAGCTTTGGCAGGAACCCCAGTTTGCAGAGAGCTCACCCTGCACTCTGTTGAAGCTGATGTCAATGTAAGTGAGATCAGGATAAACTCCAAAATCCTGATCTGCATGACCTGTCAATTGGTTATGTTGAAGTTGAACTCTATAAAGAGATGAACAGTTTCTCAAACTCATTGGGATTGGACCAGAGAGACTATTATAAGCTGCAGTGAAATTCACAAGCTTACCGCGCCTCTGCACACTTGAGGTGGTAGATGGCCACTGAAGTTGTTATATGACAGATGAACAACAATCAAAGACGAAACATTTCCAAACTCTTGTGGCAAATCGCCATGTAAATGGTTGCGATGAAAGCGAACATCAGTTAGATTGGTCAATCTACCATACTAGGTGGAATTATGCCTGAGAGATTGTTAAAGCCATTGAGAGAACTCTTAGATCTGTACAGTTGCCTAGAGATTGGGTATAGACCCAGAAAAGTGGTTTTTATCTAGAAATAGAAATTGGAGCTTCGAGAGCACTC